TCGGTGCTGGCTGGGCGCGCAGGGGGCGGGGGCCGCGGCTCGCCCCCCGCCGATGAGCCGCCGTGGAGCGCGGGCGGACGATGGAACTCCACATCCTGGAGCACCGGCTGCAAGTTGCCAGCGTCGCCAAGGAGAGTATCCCGCTCTTCACCTACGGCCTGATCAAACTTGCCTTCCTGTCCTCCAAGACCAGGTGAGCGCGCGGGGACGCGGCGCCGGCCGGGGAGAGACAAAGAGGCGCACCCGGGCGGCTGTCCTCGCCACCGCCGCTCGGAAAACAACTTCGAGCCGCGGGGAGCGCCCCCGCCCCGCCGCTCGCCTTGTTTTTGACAAAGCCACTCAATGTGCCCTCGAACGGGGTCCTTCAGCCCCGACCCCCCCCTCCGATGCACCCCCGCCGCTGTCTCCCCTTATCTCAGCCCCCTCCCTCCTATCTCCTCCCCGAGATCCGGAGGGCCGGGGAGACTGCAGTGACGAATCCGTGAATGAATGAACGAACGAATGAATGAATGAAAAACAGGTGTGGGGACGCGGCCGTGGAAAAAACAAACTAACACCCCACCATCCCCCAATCCCTCGGTTGGGCTGGCCCCCGTCGCCAAGGCGGAGGGAGGGGTTCTGCTGAGCGCGGCTACCCAGAGCAGAAAATCATAAAATCATTAGTGGGTGTTTATCTCAAGGTGCCTGCGAGGATTGCGGACGGCGGGGGAGGCTGGGGGCGGGCAGGGGAGGGGCTGGGGGTGAGGGTCGCGGTGGTTCTTTCTCCTCCGGGTCCGGGAGGTGGGGCGGGGGGGGCGGGTTGCTGAACCCTGGAAGGGGGAGGAGCAGGCCTGTTTATGGCTCTGCCTTGAGGCTGGGCTTGGATGCTGCAGGGGGAAAAATAGTTGAAGGCCTTGGGAGGTTGGAAAAAAAAAAAATCAAGTTGGATTTTCCCATTTCCAGGTAAGGATCTGACTTTGTGAGCCCCGGTAAGGGCTTGGATTAGGGTGTTTTTTTAAGGAGCCCAAGCCCAGTGAAGTGTGAGTGCAATCTAGTGCTGTAACTTAAATCCCGTGTTTGTCCACCATTGTGACTGTTCGAAGGGATGAAGTAGTTGCTGGTTGGGTTTTTCAGGGGCTGGGGCCGCCGTGGTTTTCCCTCCTCCGAAAATGAATGAATAAATTACAGGTCAAGGTTAACGTTAAAATGATGGGCCCTTAGGCTGCCCCCTTGGGCCCTGAGCTCTGGGGATGCAGGGAGATAATTCAATCCGAGGCTCTTATCTGCCTGTTAAAGTTCTTGCCTGGAAATCTCACTTTGATGTGTGTGTCTGAGCGGGCAGCTCAGTCCCACCATTGTTTGTGAGACCTAGCGAGATCTGCCAGTGGCATCTTGTTTACTTTCTTCTCTGGCTGCTTGGTGGGGTATGGAGGATTGAAATCTTTGCCTTTGCTGGGCCTTGGCTCCTTTGATTGAAAAGGTAATTATTAAACAGGTCATTTGAAAACAAAAGCCAACAGCTCGGATGCTCAACCCCCCCCCGCCCTCACAGGCCCCTCTGGCTGTTGACATCCTGTGCCCATCCTGCATCTACCTGCCCTCTGCCCCCCACCCGCTAGCCTGTCTTGAGATTCCAAGGCTGGAGGTAAGAGAAAACGGCCTTGTTTTTCCAACCCTTGGCCCTCAGCCCCAGGCAGCCCCCTGAATGATTTCTCGGCTACCATTCAAACCAGGATGATGACTCAGGCTGCGGCTGTGCGGGGCCTGGGTGCTGGGATGGGGGGGCATTTGGGGGCTTCTTAAAAGGCAGCAAAGGGTGACTCCCTCTGCCCCTTTCCGTTTATGGAGGGACTGGCCCTCTTCCTGCCCCCACCCCAGAATCCAGTTTGGAGGGCTCATAGACAGGCATGTCTTGGGGGTGAGCCCCTGCTGACCTGTCGGACCAGCAAAAGTCTACCCCTCAGTGGGTCGAACTTAACTCCCTCTGTGCAGGAGGCAGCTGGTCTGAGGCCCAGGTGACCAGTCCAGTCTCAAGATGACTCAGAGGTCAAAGGTTGTCTCCATGTCTCCAGGGTCTGGCTGTAGGAAGTGCTTGAGCACATTTGGCAGAAGGCTGAAGGCCTGCCTCTCCGCACTCTGGGCCAGGACACTGGCTTCAGGTTGTGGCTAGCCCCCTCCTTGCCTGTGTGACCGTGGCAAGGTCCCTTTCCTCCTCTGGCCCTCAGTTTGTCCATCTCTAAAATGGAGACAGCACCGCTTGGCCCGCTGGTTTTCACAGAGCTGCTGTGTGTAGCAGGGAGTGGCTGTGGACAATGGCTTTTTAGCAAGCAAAAGAGCTAGTAGGATGTGGATATAGTCTTTAAGCTATTTTTAATAATCAGTCATCCAGGTAGAACTTTGGTGCTGTTTGATTCTTCCATCAGGACCTGCCCCCAAGTGGTGGCCTGTAGACCTGTCATTTTGCCCACCCCACCCCCAACCTAAGTTTAGCCCAAACTAGTGCAGCATCCCCCACCCCAGCCATCTCAGTGCTGCCTGTTTACAGGTTTTCAATCGCTCCCTGCAGGGGGGATCCTTGGCATGGCATTTGAGGTCTTTTGGGATCTGGATCCCGAATCCTCATCTTTAGTCACTCCCTGGCAAATACTCTTTGTTGTTAGCGCTGTCGAGTGGATTCTGACTCCTAGCGACCCTGTGTACAGCAGACGGAACGCTGCCCCGTCTTTTTGAGCTATGCTCTCACCTTCCGGCGCTATATCAGACAATGCTCCGCTGTTATTGGGTTTTCATGGCCAATTTTTCTGGAAGTGGGTGCGCAGGTCCTTCTTCCTAGTCTGTCTTAGTCTGGAAGCTCTGCTGAAACCTGTCCACCATGGAGTACCCTGTGGGTATTTGAAATATCGGTGGCATAGCTTTCAGTGTCACAGCAACACACAGCCACCACAGTATGATAACTCATGACGAGTGGTGTGGCTCCCTGACCGGGAAAAAAAACCCGGGCTGCAGTGGTGAGGGCGCCGAATCTGACCACTAGACCACCAGGGCTGGCTGGCAAAAACTCTGGTGACCCACAGTTTACTTTATCCTTCTCTTCACACCTCCATGCTTTAATGCTCGTGCGTCTCCCATCTCTGCCTGGAACCCCACCTCCCCCCCAGGAAATCTCTGTTCAACCCTCCAGATCTAGTGGAACTTCCCTGAACCCCACTTCCCTCCACCGCCAGCAGGCTTAGTCACTTCCTCCCTCTTGTGTCTACCTGGGTGGGTGCTTGGGGAGGGGTATGGCATTGATAGATACCCATTCTGTGTGCAGGTGCCCCTGGGTCCAAGAGATGTTGAAGTACCCTGCCCCTCTCTCTTTGAAGCCCAGAGTCTGGTGAGAGAGAAGGAAGAGGCGATCACAATACAGCAGGGTTGAGTCAGGGAAGAGGAGTCTAGTAGGGTAGCTGAGGGGTCTGGGGGACTGCCTGAGGGAGCCTGGGAGGCTTCCTGCAGGAGGTGGCATTCGACCTTAGGGCTTTAAAATAGGAATTAGCTAGGTGGGAAAGGGAATCCTGGTCCCAGATCCTGTGTCTACCATGGTACGATTCGGAATTAGGTTTTACACCTGCTTTGCAGGGAAGGAATCGAAAGCTCAAATGTTAAGTGACTTGCTCAAGGTCATGCAGTAAGTGGTACAGCTGGGATTTGAATCTCCATCTTTCTGGCTTAAACTCAGAGAGGTTTGCTATCACAGGTTGCAGAAGACGCCCATGTTCACCAGTTATGGCCAGTCCTTCTCTTGGCTGCGTGCTGTTCTAAAGGCTTTAGGAGCACAGAGTGGAGCCTGTGGGCTTTCTGTATGTCCTCCGCCTGCCTTTGTGGGCCTTTTCCTCTGCCAGCAATGCTTGTCCCTCACCACCTCCCATCTAGACTTACTGCATCCTCACCTTAACCTTTTGTCACTTCGCAACTTTTGTCCATAGCAGTATATCATTTGCTTGTCTCATTCTCCCACCTGGATTATAAACCTTACTCTCAGGAAGCTTTTGTGTATCTTTTTATACACCCCCCATCCCCCTAGATAATAAAGCTCTCTTTGTTTCACCGTCTATTACAGAGAGGTGAGGACAGTGGGTTTGGAGCAGTAAAATGGGTTCCTCCAGGTCACAGAGCTGGGAAGAAACAGAAGTGGGATTTGAACCAGCTCCTTTCTTGGCTGTGCTTAGCACACTGCTTTGTAGGCGCTTAGTAACTGCCTGTTTGATGGATGTCCGACTTGTGCAGGGAGTGACCCAGATTTCAGCTGGAGTCTCTGACGAGTGCCCTGGGGGCTGGAAGAGGCTAGGCAGGCAGAATCACACCTGGAGAAGCCTGGCCAGGGACCCTGCCCCGGCTCTCCGGGCAGCATGTGGGTGTGGCTGGAATAGGGGGCAGCAAGCCAGCTGAGTGCACTTATTCTAGGCACAAAGCTGGAGGGTGAGACCCTGGGTGAGCGTCCTCTCCGCCCTTGTGCTAAACCTGAGGTTCTGGGCCCGCTGCAGCCCACCCACCTCTCTCTCCAGCCTCATCTCTCATGGCTCCCACCCACGCAGATTATTTCTCACGTGTGCACACACGCGCACACACACACACACACACCCTGTGATGTCTCCAACCTCAGGCCTTTGTTCTGTCTGCCTGGAATGTTACTCCTTGCCCTACCCCCTTTGTATGCTCATTCTTCTAGATTCCATTAAAGCCTCACCTCCTCCAGGAAGTCTTCCGTGAGTGCACAGCTGAGCTCAGACTCTTCTCTGGTATGATGGGCTTAATCTTATTTTTTTTTATTTTTTTATTTTTTTTGTGAGGAAGATCAGCCCTGAGCTAACATCCATGCTAATCCTCCTCTTTTTGCTGAGGAAGACCAGCTCTGAGCTAACATCTATTGCTAATCCTCCTCCTTTTTTTTTTCCCCAAAGCCCCAGTAGATAGTTGCATGTCATAGTTGCACATCCTTCTAGTTGCTGTATGTGGGACGTGGCCTCAGCATGGCCAGAGAAGCGGTGCGTCGGTGCACGCCGGGGATCCGAACCCAGGCCGCCAGTAGCGGAGCGTGCAGCGCACACTTAACTGCTAAGCCACGGGCCGGCCCTAATGGGCTTAATCTTAAGAAGATTAAGTGTGTCCTTAAGAAGATGAAATGTGACCAATCATGGACCATCAGCAGGATGTTTTGGGCTGCAAATAGCAAAA